AGGATCCCATCAGTTTCTGTACATCATTGAGAGTTTTAATTTCAAGGTCGAACTTCACGGGTTGGGGCATAACCTGCTTGCTTGTAACTGTCATTCCCAGATATTTCCATGGTTCTACCTTTTGTACCTTTTCAGGAGCAATAACCAATCTATATTGTTGCAACGACTCTCTGCCTAAATTTTCCATGTTGTTCAACTGCTCCTTGCTGTTTGATGCTAACAGGATGTCATCCATATAATGGTAACAATAGCTAGTAGGGAACTTTTCTCTCACAGGTGACAAAGCCTGGGCTACAAACCATTGACAAATTGTTGGCGAATTTTTCATGCCTTGTGGCAAAACTTTCCAATGGTACCTTTTTGAAGGCTCTGCATGATTTAGAGAAGGCACAGAGAATGCAAATTTTTCTTTATCTTGGGATGCCAATGGAATAGTAAAGAAGCAATCCTTTATCACAATGATTTTCCAATCCATAGGAATCATAGCAGGTGAGGGTAGGCCCGGTTATAGGGCCCCCATTGTGGTCATAACAACATTTATTTGCCATAGGTCATGCAAAAATTGCCATTTTCCTGATTTCTTTTTAATTACAAACACTGGAGTATTCCATGGGCTGTGAGAAGGCTCAGGATGTCCGGCAGCTAGCAGTTCCATCACCAACTCCTGCAGAGCCTTTAATTTCTCTATAGGCAAGGGCCACTGATCTACCCACACAGGGTCATTTGTTAGCCAGGTTAGTGCAAGTGTGGGTCGCTTTACACCCTGCAGCACAGTGGCCCCTGTCAAAAATCAGTAGTAATCGTCACTCCCCATTGTGACAAACGGTCCCTCCCCCATAGGTTTAGGCGGGCTGTCTTCACATAGGTCTTGACGATCCTCAAGATTGGTGATCAGAATAGGCGTAGCTGCTACCCCTCCTTGTGTTGACCCTCCCAGTCCCTACCACTGCCATTCCCATATTTGCAATTGGCCGGTTGGGTGGCCACGAGTACTGAGATATCTATAATAGTTGCGCCAGCTCCTGTGTCCAGAAGACTGGTAAGTTTTACTGCTATTGGCGAGTGCCCTCTGCTGGGTAGTGTACAGGCCATCTGCGGTCCTTGTGATGAGACAGAGTGACCAGAAGACCTGCGGGGGTCCTGTGGAGGCAAATCCTCCATCATGTCGCTCCTGCGACAAACAGCTCAAAAATGGTACAAGTTGAGCAATTCGAGTTCCTTTGGGAATGGTTACAGGCAGATAGGGAGTAGAAACCATAGCACAAATTTCCCCAGTATAATCAGCATCGATCATTCCCACATGCACAATCAACCCATTTAAAGTACTGCTAGACCTTCCGATCAATAAGGCACTCAGCCCTTGCCTTATAGGTCCTTTTGCATCTTACAGTACTTTAATGGTGCCTTTTGTTGAAATGGTTACTGTGTCGGCAGTGAATACATCCATGCCTGCTGATCCAGGGGTTTTCCCTATGAGGCGGTCACATAAGGGTCGCTGACCTGGGTGGCTCTCAGGAAGGGGTTGCTGGAGGGAATTTGTGTCCTCACGTGGCCTCTCTCTTTGTGCTGTTTCCCTGAAGAGATTGTCCGCTGCCATGAAATTTGAACCGACATTGTTGGGCAAAGTGCTCTATTTTTCCACAGCGGCTGCGGAATTACTGGCAGAGTTTCTTGGATTTTGTGTTTGGCAGGGCAATTTGCTTTACATGTCCCTCCTGCCCACATCCGAAGCACTTGAGAGTGGATTTAGCCTTCATGGCTATAGCTAGTGCCACCATTTTATGCTCCACAGTGCCAACTTCAGAGCAGGCAGCAACCACATCAGGTACAGAGGGATCTCCAGGCAGAGCTTCAATAATTTTTTGTCAGTCCTCATTAGCATTATCTTTTGCCAATTGCTTATACAACATCTGCCGCAGTCCATCATCGTCTACTTGTTTTTCTAAAGCGGCCGAAGGAGCCCCTGTCTAATGGTAACGGATTTTTGTTTTGGTGCTGCTAATTCCATTGTCTTTATTAATGCTGACATTCCGAGTCACTGGGACTGCTCCAGCAACATTGGGTGCCACTGCGCTTGTACTTGCGGATTTGAGAAACTATCTCCTGTGCCTGTAAGGGTATCCACCCCAGCCCCTTGTCTTGGGTCTCCTTGTGGTAATTGCATATTGTCTATAGCAGCCCTTCCAGCTAATTGTCTCCAAGTCGATTCAAACACCATGTATTGTATTGGCTGAAATAAAATCTGGGCGAGATGAGTACTATCATAGGGGCACAACAAATTCCTATTTATTATTTGTATCAGTTGCATGACCTCAGGGGAGTTAATGCCAAATTTTGCAGACTTTATATGTAAATCTTGCACCCCTTTCCATGAAAATAGATTATGATCATCATTTGGCGAAGGAACATGCATATGAGTGACAGGAGAGGAGTGAAGTAACTGGAACCACAGGAGGGCACTGGGTACAGTAGGTTTGCCTTTATTAGCAAATTATTCTAGCTGCTGAGTGGGGGTTTTATAGTTGAACCCACAGCCATAGTCTTTTGGTGACTTCCAGGTGTTCACGACTTTAACCTGATCATCAGGTGATGGGTAACAAGGGGATTTGTTTAGTTCCTTATTTAGATCTTTAGTTGAAGAATTAGACAAATTAGGGTCCACAGAGAACTGTAATGCTCCCATTTTCTCTGTTACAGTTTCTATGTCATGGTCCTTATCAGAGCATTTTTCGTTAACAGAGCATTTTTCCTTTGTCTCAGCAGTTGCTGCCTCTAGTTCCCTTTCCTTACTGTCCCACTCTGCTTTCCATTCTTTTAGAGTCTCACTCAGCAGCTGCCAAACAGTAGCCAATTCTGATGCATCTTTTGACCCTTTAGAGATTGCATCTCATAATTTTTACCCTACTTCTTGCCATGCTGATACACTAAACGTTGTGGTAGCTGTTGCTTCAAATCCGTGCCTTTTAGTCCAAATGAGCGTGTGCCTTAGCTGGTATTCACTAGTCTTAACACCTTTACGGCTAAGTAATGCTTTCCATGTGGACAGTATTGTTTCCTCTTCTTTTGTTAAATGCTGTCTCATGGCTATAGTCCCATTCCAGGTGGCTCATCTGATTAGGTGTCAAAGTTCAGGTCCGGAGCAGGCAGATTGCCACTGCTCTCAGCTTCACCGGGCTCCGTCTCCGCTGCACGTTGTCCTGCAGCCCACTTCTGCTAAATCATGAATCCCGAATCATGTCCCTGTCAAATTGCGATCTCAGCCTTCTTGCACGTCGTTGTTGCATGTCAGGGTCACTCGATATCATTGTAGAGATGGACAAAGCGACATATGAGTGACAGGAGTGAAGTAACTGGAACTCCTCTTTTCCCACATGGGTGAACAAGAGGCTTGTTTCTTCTTATTACTAAAAGCATGCATTTTTATATATTTCAGGTGCCAGAGGGTTACAATATAATTGGTCAAAAAGCTGGTTTTAACATTCTTATTGGATAACCTTTATCAGTTTCCTCCCTGCTTGCTTCATCCTGCTGTGTAATCAACAGCTCATTGAAAGTGATTTACTTTAAGTACAGCTTCCTTAACTCAAGGGTACACTGGAATCATGTCAAGGTCAAACTCTTCTTCAATCAGGTTACCAGCAGACCAGCTGCCTTTCCCAACAGGATTTCTGTTGAAGAAAAGCATAAATGAAGTCCTGGCATGGATCTGGGGTTTGTAACTAATTTCTTCTGGATGGCAATCTCACTGTGTTTGGAGTAGGTTTTTTTTCTGAAGCTCTTGTCCTGAATTTTAGAAAAACTGAATTGTATGCAGTAAGGATTATAACACTGGTTTGCATTATGTGAATAGCTCGCTTGGAAACTTCTTCCAAAAATAGGAAATAGAAAGGAGTACAAAATTATTGATCAGTCATAAATTTAATGAATGTCTCAAGATTAAAAACTGGAGAACATTTTACAAAGATAAAAATCTTAGATGTGAATATAAAACTATGGAAAGTTTCCCATTAGTTAAGTAAACAAACAAACAAAAATAGCGCAAAGAAGAAAGTGATTATTTTATGTGAAAGATGGGAAAAAGCAGTAAGAGAAGAAAACACTGCCATGTGAAGGGCCATCCATGTTCATTATGGTGAATGAAGGTGCACGAGAAATTCATTAATGTGAGATGATCAGGATAAGCATGTAGGTAAAATGACCATAGTGAATTTTGCTCATTTGAGACAGAGGACCATGTACAGCACAGTTTCAAAACTATACCCAATTGCTAATAGCCTGTTGAGTTTCAGCATGAGCTTAGCTTCCTGTGCAAGGTTGTTGAGCGGTGAAGATGAAGGCAATGAAGCCGGAGCTGCCCTGGCCTTGCACGAAGAACAGCTACAGATCAGCCGTGACTCCAGACAAGCATGAAGGGACCAATTTGTTATTGGCTACAGGCTCTTCAGGGGAGCACTTAGGGTGAAGAAGGGTGTGTAGGTACTTCTCCTCCATCAGTTGATTCCCATGGACCTCAAGCAGTGTAAAAGCTTTTCAAGTGTCCTGCTGTTGTGACACCTGATGTTTGAAGGGACAAACAAGAGGTCTTCAGAATTAGAATACTTTCTTTTTTAATGTCTTTGCAGTATTTTCCCCCTCTGTTTCAGAGGAAACAATGTTCCTAGATATATGCACAGGTCAGAGAATGTGCATATTCCAGGTTTATGTCTATGAAAGGGAAAGCAGAGTTTGTGTGCTTGTGAGCATGTGTCCAGGCTGGTGCTGGAGCCCGTGACCCCTTGGCCTGAGCTGAGCCCTTTGCTTTTGTATTCCACTGATTTGTATTCCACTTGGCCTGAGCTGAGCCCTTTGCTTTTGTATTCCACATATGTCGTAAGCTGCGCACAAAGTAGCCCATGCAGACCTTGATGATGGGAGTTGCACTCCAGAGGACACAGTAAAGTGTTTGCTCTTTCCCAGGAATAACCCCAAGCACTAATTGTTCCCATAGCCAAATTCTACCAGGAACAAGGGACTCACAACGCTCTGTATCAACAGTGACATTTCAGCTTTGCTTCCCTTGTTAGGATGCTTTTTTTAGCTTTGAGGCTTGGAGGCTTTTTATCCTTAGTTTCCACCCTGCCTCCGCTGCAGGATACAACCAATCTCAATGTGCACAGATTAATGTACTTTGAGTTCTAGAGGTCATTGATTCCAACCTCCTGCTCACAGCAGGGCTGGCTTCTACCATGCATAGTATGTTCACAGATGGGGAAGAAAGGTAGGGGACATTTTCCTGTTGCCAGAATTTGCTCACAACATATCTTATCCTTACTGTAGTGTACCTAGTTGCTTAGTTTATCACCTTCACAATGTTTATGCAAGGAACTTTGACATGCTGGAACGCAAGATTTTGGTTTCAGAAGGCATGTTGGGGCTGTTGCTTTACTGTTATGAAGACAAAGACTTGTGAAAAAAATCATGTAATAAAATAGAAAAAAACCACCTCATTTATCTTGTTAACTAGTTATTTGCAATGTGGAAAAAGTACTTTTTTCAAATTTAAATATCTGTATAGTGGTAGTTTGTTCTAGTCTCAAAGGGAAGAAACAATTGTCTGTTTTATCTTTACATGGTTTATTTGCCTCATGCTCCCTGTTGTTTACAAGCTCTCTCAAGGGTTTGGTTCCAGGCTTCTTTTTCCTTCCATTTTCTTTTCAATTAAAAAATCTTTATTCCCTCTAATCATATTCAATACCTGAAATCTCTTTAGTTTTCTTGTTCTTTTCTTCCTCAGGATGATGCAATGGAATTAATTGGTTATACTTTACCAGACAAACTAGAATATTTTGGGTTCTCTTATAGACAGAACATTGAAAGAGAATTTGGGATTACTCTGATGTTGATCACTTGGAGGATTGTTATACAAACATGATGGGTAGGAACAACTTCCAAGAGCTGACACACTTTTTGCTCATTTAATTCTTTCCTTTAACTGTGTTGTTCAGCTGTGATTATTAATTTATTTGGCATTATTTTCTGATTAATCTTCATAATTATTAGGAATTAGCATGACTTCTTTGTGAATCCAGATAATGAGGTGCAAATGGTAAAGCTTGAGAGTTCTCTCTCTGATACTGTCAAGAATTACAGGAGATTATTTCCTGCAGCAGAGTGTAAAACCAGAGAAGTGCAGGACTTCTGTCACATCTGTTTGTATCAAAGGGGAGTGAGAGCCTCCTCTTGACTATTGGGATTAATAAGCAGATCATCATGGGCTCTGAAAATGATAACTACTTTGGAATAGAAAAGCATAAACTGGGGAAGGAAGCAAGCTAATTACTGCTGTCTTTGCTTTATAGCATTTTCTTGGAAATGCATCCATTTGTTAGATTTGGAAACACTGCTCTTTCATCTTCCTTTTTCTTTCTGTATGCATCAATCCTCTTCTTTACATGCCAGTGACTTGTCTTAGTAGCTAATTCTTCAGATTTATTTGATGTTTGTGAAAGACAATCATGCCTCATTGTCCCTTTTTTGTTTCCACTCTGGAAGCCAATGCTTGTTCTTTCATGCCTTCTTCTCCCACCATACCCCACTCCTTATCATTACAGAGAGTTTGAAGGTGGTGCTCTGGATTGTTTTTTCAACCCTTTAGAAATGAAAAACATTTCCATTTCCCCACTCTTTTCACCTGTGACAGTGTCCTGATGATCTTTCAATAGTTCTTGATGGCTTTGTTCTTTAAAGCTAGCTCTCTGTTCCGAAGATGAAGTACATCACAGACTAGTGAAAGGTAGTATCACTGCTTTGATGGAGATTGCATCCGTCCTCTGCAGGTTCTTTGCCATCTTGTTTGCTTTTCCTTGCAAGGTTGTAGCAGAAAAAAGGGACTAAAAGGTTCCAATTACTGACATGCTATTTCCCTCCTGTTACTCACAAGCCTAATTTGACTTTGTGCTACTTCTACTGATTTGTTTATTACCCACAGTTCACAGCTGTAATCCCAGTCTGTATTCTGAGTGGTCTTCCTCAAAAGCTGTTATGATATTGCCTTGCCTCAGGTGTGTGACACCCTACTTGAAAACCAGCATTGCCTCAACTTGTTCAACAAGGGATGCTTTTATAGGGCATGTAAGTGAGCACTTTTCCTGTGTGTCTTAAGCGATGAGGTAGGAGACCTCAGGCACAGAGCCTTAGTGATGTTTTAAGACTTGGGTCCTAAGATCGTGTGGAGTGGGACTTGTCAGATGATGCCCAGAAGGTCTGAAGTGGATGCATTAGCCTAGCTGGGCATGTCCCCTAGTAGTTCTGCGTGAATCCTGTAGGTTTGCTCTGCCTGTTCCTGAGCGCCTGTGCCTGATTTTCTTCTACCATTTGCACTCTCTCCTTTTGGGAAACGACACAACATGGTTGAGGAATGTAAGTCCAGATCTAGAGGTGTAGCCTGGTGTAGCCTAGTTCCTTTTCTCCCCCACTGTAGTTTCCAGAAGTTGTTGCTTGAAAGTTGAAATCATGTTCCTCATCAGCTGTAAAGCATTCCTTATTCACAGGTCACACCTGGAAACAGAAACACAACAGATTTCTCCACCATCGGAGCTATTCATTCCTGTCCTGGACCAATTGTGTAGAAATGAGAAAATAGTTCAGTATCTGTGTCTGCTCAGCTCTTGATCACTTCACCTTCCTCCCTCCCTCTCTCAAAAAAATCAAGAGCTACTTTGATTATGGTCAGTGGCATTGTGCAAAATACATCTGGCCAATATTTTCAAACTGCGTCTTTAATGTAACAAGATGTAACGAGATCTTTAATTCTGAGACGTGTCATTCTTCATTGGTTGTGCAGAGGGCTGTGAAAGGCAGGAGAAGAGTGGGACGGGTCGCTGTGGGCAGAGCCCCACAGTCATCTGTGCTTCCCCTGCAGGTGGTTAACAGAGCAGTGGTGGCTCCTGAGCTCTACTAGATGTCTAGAATAGATTTATGAAACCATACTGCCTTTACTGGGCTTTGGATTAAAAGGCAGTTTGTACATGAGCTTCTGTCAAAACGTTTGCAGGTTGACAGCTGTTACAAAAATATTTGGTAACCACTGTGGTGAAGATGTTCTCTAAATGTAATGTATTTAAGTATTTGATACAAATATTTACAGCATCTATGGTATCTAGAGCCTTTGTCTCCTTATTTTTCACCTTTCCAACAGTCTCTGTGTCAGACTGTGTGTAATGCAGTGATTCAAGTACTACAAACACCATGAGCAAACATGTCAAGCAAAAAGAACACCTCCAATGAGTTATTGCACTTATGCTTCAGTCTCTGTTGGTATGATGAATTTTGTGTTACCATGCTTGTTTAGTCTCCTGAAGCCTTAACAAAGATTAATTTAAGTCTCTGGTATCTTGTGCGGAATGTGTTTGCATCAGACTAATACTTGTGTAACCACAGCCATCACATACATGATTCTTTTGACAATTTTTGTAAAGACTAAGAATGCTCCAAAAAAGTAGACTGGTTGGCTCTCTCCCACTTTTACAGGAGCTTCTTCCAGGAGTGTGGAAGGCTGCTGCCATTTCAGGGCTACCTTAATTAGACCATTCAGTTCTCCAGTAACTGAAACATACTGGACCATTTCAAAAAAGCACCTTTCCAGGAATGAAAAAAAAAAAAAAGAACAAAAAAAGAAAAAGGCTAGTGAATAACTCTCCCCATTGCAACACTGAAATACAATCTCTGATGATAGAACAGAAAGGGGGAGGAAACAGAAGGAAGAATGAAAACAAATGCAATGTTGTGTTAAACAGATTCAATTTAACATTCACTAACGTAAGTTAAAACCTCCAGATACAAAATTCACTTTTGGTCATTGTGGAATAAAACAGAAGATTGGAGAGAAAGATCATAAACATGCTCAAGTGACTTGCAGCTGGGGTGTAGAAAAGTACATATATCATACTAATTGTTGCTTATCCTCATGCGCTTGACAAGTAGACTATTTGTGCTTGGGTAGCGTAGGCCTGTGACAGAGGCACCCTATCAAACATACTTGAGATTCCTGCCCTGCTGCAGGGAAGCTCAGAGCACCACAGTAAATCACACCTGTGCATATCCTTGATAAACCAGCAAAAACATCACAGTCAGCAATCCTCTAGCACAGACCGGGCTCAGCACTGCCTACTTCCCTGCTTGTGTGCCTCTGCCCAGGTGCTGCCTCAGGGATCCCCTGGTTGGTGACATAATAAAAATAAATTTACTCTTTGCATTTCATCCCTGGTTTTGTGGTCATTCCCGCGCCCTGCCTGTGCAGACTCACAGTCGCTGGCACGTTCTACACCCTGCTCAAGGGAGAGCTGTGGCTCTGCAGCAAGTCAGGCCCAGCCTCACATCCCCTTCTCTGGCCACGGCGAAGCCCTCCTGGCTGGAGCCCAGTGGGCAGCGGCAGCCACAGGTTCTGTTTCACTTCAAGAATGAAGCAGTAGGGCTGGGTGCCCAGAGTCACCTGGGGGCTAACCCCATGTAAGAGCTGAGCTAGCAGCCCTGTGGTGCTGGCCGCTGCCCCCCCCTTGAAAGATCTGTGAGTTTCTGGGGGCAGCACCCCCATCCCAGGTGAAGAACTGAGTTTATCCAGGCTTGATTTTTCTGGAGCATGCCCCATCACAAAACATGCAGCGACTGTAGAAAGGGAAATACCAGTTTTATTTCAGGATGCAGCACTACCTGAAAGGACACTGTAGAGAGGTTGGTGCTGGTGTCTCCTCACAGGTAGTTAGTGACAGAACAAGAGGGAATGGATTTAAACGCCAACAGGGGAGCTTTAGGCTGAACATTAAGAAAAAAATTTTCCCAGAGTGCTCAGACAGGGGAATAGGCTGCCCAGGGAAGGACTGCAGTCACCATCCCTGGAGGTGGTGAAGGGTCGTTTGGATGAGACGGTGGGGGCTATGGTGCAGGGGAGAACTTTGCAGAGTAGGGCTGAGGGTTGGACTCGATGATCCCAAGGGTCTTTTCCAACATGAAGGATTCTGTGATTAGGCAAAGTGTGTTGGGACAGGCATGGGTTTTGGCTCCAGGCCCCCTGTGTATAGCAATAGGGCTTCCAAAAATCTTTCCTGCAACAGCCCTCTTGTGAATTAACGTGCAAACCTGGGGGGGGAGGGGGGGGTG